CTGAGCCCATTAACCAACTGAGCTACCCAGGCAACCCTGTCAAGGAAAGATTTAAAAAGTATCAGGAGGTAAGGAAGCTGGAATGAAGTGTGACAGAATACAAAAGTTAAATTTAAATCCTAAACTACCAAAACAACAGTTAATATCTAAGACTGACAAATCAAGAAGTAACAATGTATAGACAGCATTTCAAAATATGAAGCAGAAGAACTAAAAGTAACTGCTTCTGAGGCAGTTGACTGGTTTTTAAGGTTTTCAGAACTATCTGTTTTTTAAAAACCTATGTCATTACTTAATTAAAAATAACACTTAAAGCACAAAGTACATACAGATAACAATGAATAAGCAGAAACTGTGAAGGTGGTATCAGAATAACAAAAGTTGGGGAAATACCATGACAGAGGAACAACTATCTCCCTTTGAACCAAATGGGTATTGCACTAAAAAGAGGAAACATTTTTGAAGTACCGGCTTATAGCCGGGATATAATTTGTCATTCATACCAAGACAATCTGGAGAATAAAAAGGTGTGCCATTAATAATTACATAGAGACAACAGGTGAATAGTACCAGGAAAGGAAGAACTTATGGTCACCTATATGTAGCCTGGACAGAAGTCTCTTCGAACCAAGCAAGGATGCATGAAAGCTCAGAAACTGTCACCATCGTTCACTGAGTGGCTACTACATGCCAGGCACGAGAATTGGTAACCAGGGATAAAAATGTAAGAAAGTTAGTAACGGGAGTAGACTATAAAAGTTGAGCATGCAAGAATAAATGTACCCCAACCTGCTCAGGCATTTACTTCCATCTAGCCTCCTCTTCTTGAAGTCAAGGGACCCATACATTACTTAAACCTTTATCTACCTCACTCAAGATAAAAGAGCCATTAAGAATGGAAATGGGTAGAAATAACCTAATATCTTGATGAAAGAAGCATGGGAATTGCCTGTATTTTAAAGAACCTTCCTAAGCCATAAAAGGTAACTGTCTACTTTTGGAGAGCAATCCAGAACAAGACACTCGTCCGCAACACAAAAATCAGCAGTCAGAAAGCACCAATTGAGCGAGGCACGGACACTATAGCATATAGTTTTCTCCATGGACACAAACTTTCTTTTTTAGAGTTAGAGCCACCCACCATTTCCATCTTGACCCGTGGCATACAGACATGTGACTGAACGTACTGGACTGGCTTGCCTTTTGAAAATGGTGGCAAATTCTGACATTTTACATAATTCTTTTGGGATAAAAGGCAGATGACTAAAGTCAAGGTTCACTCATAGCAGGATGCCCTAAGAGGTAGTGTTCTAGGTGTGCCTGGATATTGTTTCCCTCGGTTCTCAAAGCAGCTGAACTGCAGAATGGAGACTAACCTCCTTCACCTCTTACCCCATGCAGTACTAATCATAGTACCTGGTTAAAAATGATCACAATCCTGAAAAGGCTGGGAGCCCTAAATAAGGACCCAGTTAAGTATAAGAGGAGAGGAGAAGCCCAGAGCCCACTCTCACGATCCACTGCCACTACCCGGAGTTTTCTAACACAGAAATAGACAAGGGCTGCAAACGCTTGCTGCTCACGGAAGTTCTGATCTAAAATAGAAGAGGCAGGACTGGACTAGACTCCAACATCTACAGTCACAAAACAGTAATAAGTTCTAGTTGTCACGAAGATCTCCTGTTTGATTTTTGACTGAGCCGATTTTCTCATCTTTAAAATGACACTATATACTTACTAATGTTTTGGAAATTTCTACTCAAACAGAAGTGTGTGATGTTGCTGTTTTTAGACATAAATTAATGAAAACTGTAATAAAAAAATATGTTATTTGCAGTAGCCTCACAATACGTATTTAACCCAAACTCAATTTGCAGATGAGATTAGGAGTCACATTAGCTCCTGTTCTTATTAAAAATAACAGAACAAAACATGGGGAGCCTGGGTGGGTCAGTCAGTGGAGTGTTGGACTCTTGGTTTCAGCTTAAGTCATGATCCCAGGTCGTGAGACTGAGCCCCACGTTAGCTCAGTGCAGAGCCTGCCTGGGATTCTCTCTCCCTCTGACCCTCTCCCCCGCTCATGCTCTCTCTCTAAAAAACAAAACAAGGTTAGTAGCTTTTTGGTTCTCCACTAATCTCTATGGCTGAAGAGAGCTGGAGCTACCACACACAATCACACAGTTCTGAAAAGCTTAGGCTTGCAGGTATTTAAAACAAAAAAGTGGATGTGGCAACTAACAAATTTTCTAGTTTGTGAATTTTTTTCATAATGGATATTTCTTTGAAGATGGGTATGGACAATACAAGACTTGGGATCTGTATAGTTCAAGCTATTCCTGCATCTCAAGGCTAGTTTTCTTATTAAAAAAGGAAAAAGTGTAAAAAATACATGAGCACGCACCTATATACTTCACTATCTTTCTGCTACAGCTAAGAGAATAAGCAACCAGAATTTACCCGACAACCATGATCTTTGTTTAAGCAGGTCAGAATGAAGTCCTGTAACCTGGAAAGACTATGATGCAGAAAGGAATTCTACAGGTGGGTTCTGGACATAATTATTAAAATTCACAGTTATAAGAAAATAGAAAGTTTATTCAAATAAGATTTTCAAAATAATTAGCCACAAATTTTGCTAATGAGTACATTTTCATATGGACTTGACACATAACTTTATACAATACCAGTTCTTCTTAACATTTAACATACCTCTTCAAATGACGTAAGTAGAAGGGCCAGGATAAACCTTAATGGTTTCTGGGCGCCTGGGTGGCTCAGTCCTTAAGCATCTGACTTCGGCTCAGGTCATGATCTCATGGTTCGTGAGTTCAAGTCCCACATCATGAGCTCGAGCCCTGCTTTGGGTGGACCTGTGCCCCACTTTTCTCTCTCTCCCTCTCTCTGCCCCTTGCTCACTTGCGCCCTCTCCCTCTGTCTCCCTCTCAAAAATATTGATTTTTGAGGGACAAAAAACAAGGGCCTATAATTTAACTTTCCTTGATTTAAACACTGCTACTTAGTATTATTAAGTTTGCCAATCTGTCTTTAGGCCTCCAGTTTTTCCCAGTCTCATGCTTTGCATTTATCAATCACGTAATGGAACACTGACTAAATGAATCTTAGCTTTTGTGAATGGTCTAGAGAAGATGAAGAATAACCTGATAAACTCTTAATTACTGGGACTAGGAACAATCTACACATCTAAGCTGTATAATTTCAGGGTATATGAGTGGAAGAGAGAGTTTCTGATTTATTTATATTTATTATATACTGCACCCTTGTAAATCAATCTTTGGAAAATACGGCAACTTTCAGAAAGTTTTTTTTCCTTTTTAAAAACACATTTTTATTTTTTTTCACAGCATGCTTTTTTAATGTTTATTTTTGACAGCAGCGGGGGAGGGGCAGAGAGAGAGGGGAACAGAGATCCAAAGCAGGATCTGTGCTGAGAGCAGAGAGCCTGGTGTGGGGCTCCAACTCAAGAACTATGAGATTACCACCTGAGCCAAAGTCGAATGCTCAACTTTTTTTTACTGGAGAGGGGGAGGGAGAGGGAGAGGGAGAGAGCCCACGAGCACCAGAGAGGGAGTGAGCTTGAGCGCATGTGTGTGAGCAAGCAGGAGGGGAGACAGACAAAGGTAGTGAGAGACTCTTAAGCAGGCTCCAAGCTCAGGGAGGAAGAGCCTGTCACAACCCTGGGATCTTGACTTGAGCTGAAATCAAGAGTTCAATGCTCAACGGACTGAGCCACCCAGGTGCCCCAGAAAGTTTTTGTAACATGGATTATTTAAAAATGTAACAGTGAAAGAAACTGTGAAAACATTTGATAGAAATTAACCAATACAAAATCTTAAAAACAAAACTATGTTCAGCATTTTTCTAGGATTAAGTCCTTATTTTCATAAAAATGCAACAAAGAATCCGTTTTACTTTCAATTATCTAACGCATTTATCTTCAAAGAATTAAAGACACATGAACCTTTAATATGAGTGGCAGGAAACTGACCAAGTTTAATAGCTTGGTTTTTAGTGGAGGGTCTCTTTGAACGGCAATTTACATGCTGAAAATCAGAACTGATCACTTTCGTCAGGACATTTTTCAGGTTTTAAAAAGTCTTTATTAGTTTTAGCTTCCCTGGATGACAGAGTTCAGAGGCCAGACTTAAGCTCGACAGCTCAGCCTGCACCACAGGACGCAATCAAATGTATGAATTGATAAATTACTTTCATAAAAATAAATTTCAATCGTGGACGTTTCTCAAGCGGCAAAATTACCCAACCTTTAAAACACTGGAGACTGCAACAGCGCTTTTTCTCAACACGTGCCCCGGATACTCTACCAAAGAGGAAAACTAGTGAGGTTTTAAGCATCACATCGTTTTTGCATTACTAATGCTTGCAGGTTTTCGGCATTAGGGTTTCTGTGTTACCCACAGCAGGGCCTAGAACATGAGACGGCTGCGCGTGAGCGGTTTTTTTTTTTTTTTTTTTTTTTGAACTCTAGCAAAAGCCCCGCAAACGATAAACACGAAAAGCCGGATTCACATCTTGCTAGCCCCTCCATCCACCCTTTACGAAGAAGGTTGCCAATTCTGGCGGGACCTGGGGCGGAATACTCGGATTCTGGAAGGACAGAGCGAGTGCGTGGGTGTGTATGAACACTGCAGGAGGGGGGCAGCAAGACGTGATCACAGAGTGGGAGGGAAGGATGATGCCTCTTCCAGGGCGGGAAGGAATTGTGAGAGGAGGCTGTTATGCATGACGGGGGCCAGCACGCGGGGAAGATGGTGGTGGATGCAGGGCAGGGTGATTGCGGGGGATTCCCTGTTCCGGGGCGGCGCTGGGGGCGGCCTGCGGTGAATGGTCCTGCAGCAACTAAAGGGGCGCGACACTGAACCCGGGAATTCCCGACGGAAAGAGAAAAAAGGGCGCCGAGAAATGGGGTTATTATGGGATGGCAGAGGGGGGCTCCCCAGGGAAAATTACGGGATCTATCTCACCCGCCAATTGCTGTACAGTCTCTTCACTCGTCGGTAATAAGCGTCTTTGTCCAGAGTCACAGCCATAGCCACAGACGCCGCTCCTGCTTGGGTTCCGAGAATCACGCGAGGTCCCGGATCCGCCACCCGCTCTCGGCCCCGGAATCCCGCACTCTCCCAGTGACCCGGAAGTATCGACCTCAAAGATGCCCTTTCCGCTTCCGGGTCCCGACAGCGCTTGGAATTTTTTTTTTTTTCTTTTAATCCTCTCTCCGGAGGTTAGCGGAAGGAGAGGAAGAAAGACAGTGGAAAATCAACAAAATGTGCAACACAAAAAGAGTCTAGATTTTCGCGGGGTTTTGTTGTCAACTTAGCAACAGCCGCACGCGAAGCGACGTCATCACGTGACGCTCCGCCCCGCCCTCACTCTCAGCCCGGCTGCGGTTTGCAGGAGCTCCAACTTCTGGCGGAGGCGGCAGCGGCGGGGCACCGCGAAGGAAGCGGGAGGCCTGCCGAGCCTGCCCCGCCCCACACGTGCCCCGCCCCACACGAGCTGCCGCGCGCCGCTGCAATGGCCCCACCCACCGACAAACGCCGGGGAAGCGGAAAGAGCGGGAGCTGGCGTGGGACGGGAGAAGGAAGGCTGGGTGCGTTCCCCTCCTAGAAAGGGTGGGGAAGCAAAACCCTTTGCAGCTCCTGGTCTAGAAGGATCCTTCGTGGTGGGACGCTGGGTCTGAGGTTCCGGGCACACACAGAGAACAAACCGAGGAGAAAAAAACGCACCCTACCAATAAATTATGGTGAAAGGACCTTGCCTTAGAAAAGGAAATGCCCAGGCTTCATCTGAGCCCTGGGATGGGGGGGAAGAGTTGTAGGAAACAAATGGCTTGAGGGGCTTAACACAACACAGTCTCCGCCCCCCCCAACCGGGCTCAAGTCTTGACAACGTTCCTTCCGGTCAGCCTGTCCCCTTGCCACAGTCCATGAAGTGACACCATTCTTAAGGCTTCTCAAAAGCACCGTTATTTCAGTTAATTCCAGGTAAAATGTACATGGTTCCTTGGCAACATTCTTCATTTTTTTTAAGAACTTGCGAGTTTGAATCTGAACATTTGCCTACTATTTACATTAAATAATTGCCTTGCCTTTAGCAAGCTGGACTACACTTAACATATGCCCTTTGGTGGAGTGGAGACGACTTGTCTGTCCTGTCCAAGGTAACTTTGTATGAGAGATAATGAACTTTGGAAATGGTACTGAAATTACCCATCATGAATTCAAAATTAACCTTTATATTGGGTTTGAGCAAATATAGAACAAAGGAAGAGTGGAAAAGGATTAACTTAAATTTATTAATGCCAAGGGGAAGGAAGGTAACAGTTCCTGACCCTCCAGCTGTATCCACAGTTCGGCCAGGAACAGGCTCTGCCAGAGGCTAGGGCCAGCGCTACATAGTCTGTGGTTAATGGAGGGGTTTAGGGAGGGGTGAGCACATCAGCTGCTCTAGTCTCCTTTCCTTCCCCAGAAATGAGGAAGTGGTCATGTATTTTTTTAGGAGTTCCCCCTGCCCACCCAATCCTCTCAATTTTGGAAGCAATCAGGTACAAGTTTTCTTTTTCCTTTTCACCTCCTGGAGTCCTGGGTTTCCCCACATCTCCCCTGCCCCTCCCACTTTTCCATAGTCCAAGGGCCAGAGTAATTGAAAATAACAGCAGCCACCCAAGCAATGGGGACCATGCTGGGGCTTCAGTCATCAGCATCATCGCTCGAGTCTGAGTTGGCTGGCATCATAGGATCATCAATGAGTGAGAAGTCCCTTTCTGAGCTATCATAGCCCTGAGATAAATCATCATCATCATCTTCATCCTCATCGTCCTCATCTTCCTCAGGCTGCAGTGGTGGCAACCTCAAGGCAGTACCAGAGGTGGTAGTGGCTGGTGAAGAAGGGAAGCCAGTGGCTCTCAGGCCTGGATGGTGATGGTGGTGATGGTGGGGGTGGGGGTGGTGGTGGTGGTGATGAAGCATGGTGCTGGAGTCTACATGAGGGGATGATGCTGCACCACCCATCACAAACGGCATAAAAGGCAAAGATGCAGAAGCGGCACTGCTATGACCCAGAGATGACACAGACTGCAGGCCACTACTGCTGTGTTGGAAGGTATTATGCAGAGACAGGGACCCAGTGCCTCCACCCTGCATCAGGGCCATCATCTTAGAAAGGTCTGGTCGCATCCTACGGGCCCGCTTCTTGCTGCTGTCTGGTGCAATAGGCCCTGGCAAAACCCGGTTGAACACAGTTTCAGCATGGTGACCCTAGGAGGAAGGAAAAGAAGATGGTAAACAAGAAAGTCAAAAAGCAAAATAGAAGCCAACAGAGCCCCAGCTTGCAAATTCTTTTTCACTGACTCTATCTTTAGGAGCAGCAAAACAAGCACATTCAGATAAGGCTTGATGGTAATAAGGAGGAGGAAATGCTGGATGTAGCTGCTGGAAGCACTGCGACGCCCAAGCTAAGATCAAGGAATTGATACTGATACTCATGTGAACCAGAGTTTTCTTTTTTCCGTGACTACATTGTATCTTTAGTCCCTCCGCCCATTTCTTACCTTTAAGAAATTAAAGGGGCCTGAGTAAGCCAATGAGTGAATCAGTATTTGCACAGTATACTTTACTGATGGCAGGTTGTTCACATGAAATTTATCATGTGAAGTGCAGAACGACTATATTGGTATTCACAAAATTATCACTCATTAGAATATCAGAGTGTGGTAAACTAAAGACAGGTCAGGTTAAGACTCCTGGATGTTTAGAACAACAAAAAGACTGTGGGTAGCTCCTCGTGAAATTTAAGTTTTGTTCACACTGATAAAAAGAACCTATCTGCTGAATTTTAAGTCACTTCTTCTAGATGTTCTGACTGTAAATTTTAATTAAGTATACCGAAGCTGGAACTACTGCCTCTGCTTTGCTAGACCTAAGTACAATAGTGGGTAACCTAGAATTAAACTCAGACAATTGGTGCCTATATCTCTGCACTCTATTTACCAATCTAACACATGACACGGGAATATACCTTTCTGATTTGGAGAGACAAACCTCTCAATACTCCGTATTTGTATAGACTTTTAAAATAACTATAATAGCACCTAAACTCCCACAGTTACAAGTAATAATGCAGTGCTAGATATACGATCAATTCTGTCTACATCAAAAATTCTGCACTAGTCATATTATGATTTTCTGTGACTCCCTAGGATCTTTTGTTTCAACTGACTATAAAGAAATAACAAAATACTTGAGGTGAAAATAGGTAATACTGGGGAAAAGCCTTTTTTATGAAGCTGCTCTGTAATGTGAAATTCAAGACAGAGAAGGATCCAGCCTTCAGCCATCAGTCTCACATATCAACCACTGTGCTTATTATCACACTTTTGGTCCTATGGAGAATAAGAGGAAAAATTAAACTATTCTTTTATGGCCAACAATCCTTATATGAAACCACTTTTACCAATAAAAAAAAAAAATAAGCTTCATAAATGCCCCTCACAAATTACTATAATGTGCAAAATAATGATCTCAATTTGTTAAATGCAAAAGATAATGTTTATTTGGAAACTGACTTTGCTAAAAGATACATTGTATTTTTATATACATATTACATATATATGTAAAGATGTACATGAAAGAGGGGATGATTAGATAAAGGGAGTATATACAAGTACTTATCACTTTAAGTGCTTCCCAAACAAACCATGATTTAATATGTTTAAAAAATATAATTACTGCCCAAAGTAAGGCTAACATAGCAAAGAGAAACTTTTACAGTTATATTTTGGTAGAAAGGATTATCAGCACTTAATCTACCAAAAGGCCTATAACTGGGGTAGTAAAAGCATAAGTACATTTGAAAATAATGGAATAACCAATGTTGTTTTAAACTATAAAACATGTTTTCCTTTCCTTTTTCCATTACTGGCATTATTATCAGTGATTCTCAAACTCCTCCATGTTGGGAAACGCTATGACTATTTTCCTTAGTAGCCCCCAAGTCCCTTCTAAAATAAACAGGATCCTGGGGCACCTGGGTGGCTCAGTCGGGTTGCCGGGGCTGGACTTCTCGCTCAGGCCATGATCTCACACCTGAGTTCCAGCCCGCCACCAGCTCTTCAGGCTGACAGCTCAGAGCCTGGAGCCTGTTTCAGATTCTGTGTCTCCCTCTCTCTGACCCTCCCCCGTTCATGCTCTGTCTCAAAAATAAATAAACATTAAAAAAAAAAAAATTTGGGGCCGGTTGGTAGGCCGGTTATGCTGTCGACCAACAGGTCAATGACATCTCACGGTCCGTGGAGCTTCGAGCTGCACGTGGCTCTGGCTGATGGGCTAGAGCCTGGAGCCTGCTCGATTCTGTGTCTCCCCTCTCTCTCTGCCCCTCCGCTCATGTCTCTGGTCTTCTCTCTGTCCCAAAAATAAATAAACGTTGAAAAAAAAAAAAATTTTTTTTAAAAAAAAAAAATTTTTTTAAATAAATAAATAAACAGGATCCTAAAACTTTTAAGAGATTATCTGCTCCAATACCCTCAACTTTTCAGGATGTGCAAACTGAAAGGTTAAAGATTTGCCAAAACTCCCTAGTCAATCAGTAGAAGAGCAGAAGGCCTTGAATGTTCCAACACATCTTACTAATTCTTGTGTTTTAATATGCTTGATGTGCTAGTTACTTTTTAGAACTTTATGCTCTTGTAGAGATGACAATGCTAAAGGACTGTATTAATACCAATAAAATTACTCTGGTTTTCTGATTGGTGGACTGAAGATAAATTTTTTTCATACACTGTTAAAAAGGTAAGTAACATAACATCAAATAATTTCTCAGTCACATCTAGTGTGGGAACAGAGTGGTAACGCCTCAGTCTCACTCACCTTTTTCCCGTTCCTAGAGTTAGCTGTCTGGACAGGTTCCACTCCCAAACAGTTCAATTCCGCCTTATTATTTTTTTTACATCTCTGCCACTTCTGTTTTCTGCGATCCTCCATATACTGAAATAGAAAAGGATCAGTCATCCTAGAGGAATAAAAATCTTCTCTGGAGTGATTATTAAGGTACTAGTGTCTAGTTTGACAATACATGCTTATTG